CCGCTCACGGCGGGGAGCGCCACATCTCTCCTGGGGGGGGGGGGGGAAGCGAGGCCCATGATTTCTCTGAACTGCTGTCAGCCCATCCTTTTTATGCCTTCTAGAATTACTCTTGTACTGCAACATACCAGAAGCTGACCTGAGTATAGATTATTTAAATAATGTGCAAGATTAGGAATATGATATGGCAAAAATATAATTTTGTTATTTTTCTGGGGAAAAAATGTATTATCCAATAGCATTTAATACGTACTTTAAACATCCATTTGGGGTAAAAGTGTATGTCTGCTGTCCAGTGCACTAAGACTTTCTGAGTAGATGCAAGTGTGAGCATATAAAAGGAGTGTTTGCTTGTGTAAGTCTCAAGCCAAGGACCACCACTGGATAGTATGACTCTTCTATATTCAGTTTTCATAAATCTGTGTGTGTGGTTGTGGTTTTGGGTTTGGTTGGGGGGGTGCTTTTTTGTGGTTTTTTGTTTAGTTGGTTTTTTTTCGTTTTGTTTTTAAAGGTGAAAGACCTTATTTGTGTGACTACCCAGACTGCGGGAAAGCCTTTGTTCAGAGTGGACAACTCAAAACTCACCAGCGTCTTCACACAGGGGAAAAGCCTTTCATCTGCTCAGAGAATGGTGAGCCCTCAGAGAATAACTTGTGGCTTTCAGAATTAGTGTCAGTCTAGTACTGGGAATGTATGCTCATGTGCCAGCGATCTATAAAAGCTTTGGATCTTAATTTTTGGAGGAGCTTCTAGGGAAGGGAGAAGCCACACAGAATCTGTGCATAATCATGCAAGCTTAGATATAAGGATTGCATGCTTGATTATATAAGCTAGGTTATCAGTAATTGTATCAGTTGATACCAACGCATAAAATGATTGGTCATGTTATGGGCCTTGCGACTAGTGTGCTGTTTTCAACTGAATCCAGGTTTTTGTGGAGTAAGGAAGGTTGGATTCAGGAGCATCTTCATCCCACGAATGTTATGCTAACATGTCAGTTGACTTCTTAATGTGTTCTCCATTGGTATTTTGTGTTTTTAAGGCTGTTTAAGCAGGTTCACACATGCAAACCGTCATTGCCCCAAACACCCATATGCCCGGCTGAAGAGGGAGGAACTCACAGTCAGACTGAGTAAAAAACAGACATCTGACAATAAAGCTGCAGCTGAGTGGCTAGCGAAGTAAGTTTCCTTATGGTGTGATCTCTCTCTAAACTTATAACACAGAGTGGCCTGAGAAAGTGTTTTATTCTTAGGGGGAAAAAAAAAAGAAAAACAATAAACAAACCCCAGCTGTTCCTTTAGTATGATTCAGCCCAGCCTTGCCTTTTGTTTAAGTGCTGACTCCTGGTTAAGACAAAGTTCCTCATGAGGCTTTCTCATCTGTTTTTCCTTCTCTACTTAAATGCTTCTCTTTGCTTGAACAACACCTGCTAATACCATGTTAGTGCTACAGTCATACTGCTGAATTTGCATCTATGTGAGGAACAACAATCGTGTATGCACAGGGAGAGCTGACTCATGGGAATACCACTTAGCAGAAAGATCTGTGTGAAAGATCAGATATCCCTTGGGCACTTCTGCACTTAAAATGCTGAATAAAGGAGGCTTCTTACAGCTTAAATAGTGCCATAAAAGGGTTGAAAGAGAAAAAACAAATGCAGTGATTAGTCATGTGCAAGACAATACTTGGAAGGTCTTTGCTAGCTTTGAATGGTAGTTCTTACATAAACTGTACATAATTTAAAAGCATTCTCCACCTCTGATGTTGTAGATACTGGGAGACTAGAGAACAGCGTGCTCCCACTTTGAAAAGTAAAACAATCCAGAAAATGGATCAGGAACAGCAGGATCCGATGGGATATCTTCAATCTGATGAAGAGGATGATGAAGAGAAAAATAGTGCTCATTCAGCCGCTCGCCGCAGCCTCCAGGAACAGCGTGAACGCATGCATGGTGCATTGGCTCTTATTGAGCTTGCAAACCTAGCTGTGGCACCACTGTGACAGTAGCATAGGAATGGAGTCTGCCTTTACGAAATGGTGGTACTTGGTGGTTCTTAGCCAGTTAGGTCCTGGGCATAATCTAAGCACCTTATTTACTTATCACAGGCTGCTGTTCTGTAGAATTTATGAAGAATGTTGTCATCCCATAACATGGGGTGAGAGAGTTGCACTTTTTGTAAGGTAAAAGACAAATGTAAACTTTTAAGTATCTTGTAAATATGGAACTGCATAATGCAGGGTGGACAAACTTCATGTTGTGGGGAAACTAGATTTTTGCAAGGTTAACTCATTTATTTGAAACAGTTTTCACAGGAAAGCACTTTCTGAGCACAGTGTTTGTGGTTAGCAGAATGGTACATGTGGCCAAAGAAGGCTGAGAAAAGGGAAAGTATTTATCTCACTGTTTAAGCAAAACTATATTAAGTGGTAGGTCTGAAGATACTGTAAGCAGCAAAGGAAACAAGTTTTCTAATGTCAGTATATTTTTACCTATTATCACTAAGGCAGAAGGCAAAGCTTAGATATCTCAACTTGTAGAGGGGAAGAAACTGCTTCATGCAGGAAATTGTAAGATAGTTCAGTATCTTCACTGAGACTGCTCAAGATTTGAGACTTGACTTTGCTATTTTATGGGTTTTTATTTGATCTCAACAGAATCTCTTGGTTTGAGTAGCACTTGCTATTCCTAATGTATGATGTTAGGAACTTTTGCACATTGTTGGGTTTATCTGAAAATGATTAGTCTTGCAAAGTCTAGACAAAGGTAAACAATTGGTAATATTTTTTTAGATATTTTTGGACCCTTTAATGATTTGGCACTTGCTTTTGTTAATAAAAGGGGTATTGACAGGGTGGTATTGATTTGTACTAAGCTATTTTAGATCTCCTATTAGCAAACACTAAGTTTTAAAGTATTGCTCTTATATGATTATTAGCAAATAGAAGCCTCCATATTTGCTGTGCATAAAGCCGCCTTATTGCTTTACTTCAGGATAACATGCCAATTTTGTGTTCACTAACTGTAGCACAGCTATCAATTAAACATGGCAAAAAAGTATTCACTATATAACCAGAAAATAGGCTTCATAAGGTAGTTTTGAGTATGTTAACTGTGTGATTTCATATATTTCCCAAATAAATTAAGGTACAGAACACTGCCTAGTGCTCTAAAATGCAGATAAAAAGCATTTAGCACTACATCTTGTCACCTCATGAGTATTGTGTACTTTCAAATACCATTGTCTCACGGTGATCTCTTTCTGTATTTTGCTTGGAAGGCAACCAGAGACTCCTAATATGCTACGGAAATTTTGTTTCCAAATTGGATAAACTCTTTAGTTGAGCTACTGCTTTAGGGGATGTTAATAAGTCATATTTACTGACCCGCTTGCTCTTAACTTCTCCCTCTCATTGAAGGTCAGGAAATTCAGATAAGAATTCAGACTTTCCCTCTTTCTTAAGTGAGAAGAAAAAATTGTTCAATTACTTGATATAGATTGACTAGATGCATACAGCTGTTTCAGTAAAGTAGTCTAATTCTACAGCAGAAACTGCAATAGTTGGGTTATGTTGTCTGATAATTGATACCTGTTGTGGTAGAAAATTGTATTAACCCAGTTCATTTAAAATAATGTATTAATGCACTTCGGTTTTGGTCTTTTGGGCTTAAAAAAATTAAAAACTTCGTAGTCATTTCAGGCTTCTTAGCCTATGTAAAACTACCTGGCAATTCATGGGTGTGGGTTTAGAATTTCTCAGTTACGTGCTTTTGACTGTTCAGTTGGCTGCATACAAATAGTCTGATCCCAAAATGAGCCTTGAGCATGAATCTGTTGTATTTGTGAGTCATAACTCAGAATTCCTTGTGAGTGGTATTTCACATGGCACAAGACTAATAACCAGCCAGTTGCAGATCCAAGTCATAACTTAATTCAATAGAACTGATTTTCCCAATCAGCTGTAATGCTTTTGACAACTTGCACAATACTTCTTTCAGTATGACAAGTACACTGAATTCTATGTAGCTGTAGAAAAAATTCAGAGAGCTCAAGTACTTTTGTGTAAGTAAGTAAAAAATTTTGTGTAAAATAACAAGTAAAAAACCTGAGGTGGAAGACTGCTTTTTGTTTTATTAAAAAGTGATTGCATACAAGAAATACTGAAGTGTTCTATAATTCATAAGATTAAGCTGTAGTTTGGCATGACTTAACAGCAGAAGAGTAAATGTACTGTCATTTTAATAGGTGCTTTGAATAAAAAGTTGATTTAACTTTCAACTTTAGTTTACATGTGTGTGGTGCTGGGGAATTTTTATTGTACCCCTTGAGGCGAATTAAACATGTTTGTGCTTAAATATATAAAAACTATTATTAAGCAATGCATTGGACAGTCCTACTGCCATAAGCGGTTCTACAAGGAGAACATTCAGATTTAGGAAAAGGCCAGTTTTTCCTTGTGTCAGCTCCTGAAGGACAGCAAGGCTGGCAGGAAGCCAGTTGTAGCTTAGGATCCAGCAGGCCAGTTTGCACCAAAACAGGACCTGTGTCAGAAGATGAGAGGATGCTGTTCCCTCCTTGCCCCTGGATTTACTGTGAGTCTCAAGCACCTCAAGTAACACAGGCAACCTGAGGAATTAGCAGACTCTGACTCCAGATCTGAAAAGTGGGCTGTACCTTGTGTGCAATTTTAGAGGACACCTTTCTCCATGACAGGGGTGAGGGGGAAGAAGTGCCCTTTTTCTGGCCATCTTTCCAGGCTGTAGTTGTGCATGTGAATGGCGCAAAACCTGCCCTTTGAACCTTCAACCTATAAAAGCAACTCTGCTGGGAAATGACCCCCTAGTGGTCCCAGACTGGGGGAATGGTACAACTACAAAGAATAAGGACATTGTGGGTGTAAGTGCAGTGAAGGGAAAAAAACAGAGCAACAGCTGGTGCAGACACCTACAGTGACCTTCTGATTGAAGAGCTCTATAAACAAAGTGAGATGGTCTTAAAAACTGTAGTGATGTTGTGGCCATCTTTCTTGTGGGCAATCAGAAGGGCAGCCAAAACTATAGTAACATAAAAATTAGGCTCAAACAAACCATTTGGCCTTTCTTTGTATCCCTTTGTCTGCAGAGAACTGTACTGCTGCAACCAGCGCTGTCAGGCAACAAACAAATACTCCAGGTGGCTTTACTCTTTCACATTTAGGAATGCAACAATATATTAAAAAAAACCAATAAAACTATCATGCTGATAAATGAAATATCCAGGGGTAGCTTTTTAGAAAGTGTAATAATTCTGTAAAGGAGAAAGCAAAAAAATCCTTTCCAGTATTTCTCATGTCTCTCCCTCTCTGTGACATCGATTTATGACTGTCTTTGAAGACTCAAACCATTCCAACTTTTTTATAAAGTCCTAAGTATGCCAGAAGCAAAGAGCCTAGGATTGCAAACATCATGACAGGTTATACACCTTTTTTAAAAATGGAGAGAAAACTTAATGAAAATTTAAAAATTGAACTGAGGTGTTTAATCTAATGTATTATAAAATGCATCGTTAAGAAGGATATATCTAACTCCTGATCTCAGACCACTTGGGAATCCTACTTATCAGGTAGGATAATGTGCTGATGTGCTGCCTTTTGAATTTTACTAAGAGAATAGATCAGGCAGAAGCATGAAATTGGTTAGAATATGCACTCTGCCAGAAACTTTCTTCTCAGAGAATTATCAAAATCTTCTGAAAACCTGAGGAAGCAAAATAATGAATTCCTGAGTGACACAAAACTGATCTTTGTAGGAATAGGAGACTCTTTTGAAGTAATTATAGCAGAATTTGAATATGAAGAGAGAGGCAATCAGACTAAGATGGCATTCATATTCAGAGGAAATTTGTAGAGAGGGGAGCAAAAAGAGAAGCTGGGTGAGTTAGTTTAACAACAAAAAGAGGTTAAAAAAAAGATTTAAGAGCGCGGAGAAATGTAAAAAGACCTGTAATATTATAAAGCACAAGTTCTGGCTATATTTGAAAAGTTTTTGGAGAACTATATCTCCCCAGAAATATAACAATACAATTTCAGAAATAACAGGATGTGGTAGGTTGACCCTAGACCGCAGCTAAGCACGACGCAGCCGTTCATTCATTCCCTGCCCCAGCAGGACGGGAGAGAGAACAGGAAGAGTAAAGGCAAGAAAACTTTTGAGAAAATTAATTCCATTCAAAATTTCTGCTTCAGCTTTGGTTTCCATTGTTTATTTACTCACATAAAAGCACAGTAAGTATAACCGTTCTCTTTTTTTGATGACTGCTTAACTTAACTACAACAAAGTCTGAATCTGCAAATTCAAATCAGTGGAACAGTTGCAAAACTTTTACATAGCCACACATTTAAAAGCCTAATCCAGAGCTTCCTG